AAATGGTTGGGAAAACTTTAACCTTCGATATCTCCTAAACGGTTAGAGATACAGGCTTCGGACAGGTACCAAATTAAAGCCCTTTCAAAACCCTACATTTTGGACTACATGGACGACTCTCTACTCCCAGTAGAAGCGGAGATATCGACGGAGAAAGGTTGGAAAACTTTAACCTTCGATATCTCCTAAACGGTTAGAGATACAGGCTTCGGACAGGTACCAAATTAAAGCCCTTTCAAAACCCTACATTTTGGACTACATGGACGACTCTCTACTCCCAGTAGAAGCGGAGATATCGACGGATGAAGCTGGATATCGACGGAGAAAGGTTGGAAAACTTTAACCTTCGATATCTCCTAAACGGTTAGAGATACAGGCTTCGGACAGGTACCAAATTAAAGCCCTTTCAAAACCCTACATTTTGCACTACATGGACGACTCTCTACTCCCAGTAGAAGCGGAGATATCGACGGAGAAAGGTTGGAAAACTTTAACCTTCGATATCTCCTAAACGGTTAGAGATACAGGCTTCGGACAGGTACCAAATTAAAGCCCTTTCAAAACCCTACATTTTGGACTACATGGACGACTCTCTACTCCCAGTAGAAGCGGAGATATCGACGGAGAAAGGTTGGAAAACTTTAACCTTCGATATCTCCTAAACGGTTAGAGATACAGGCTTCGGACAGGTACCAAATTAAAGCCCTTTCAAAACCCTACATTTTGGACTACATGGACGACTCTCTACTCCCAGTAGAAGCGGAGATATCGACGGATGAAGATGGATATCGACGGAGAAAGGTTGGAAAACTTTAACCTTCGATATCTCCTAAACGGTTAGAGATACAGGCTTCGGACAGGTACCAAATTAAAGCCCTTTCAAAACCCTACATTTTGGACTACATGGACGACTCTCTACTCCCAGTAGAAGCGGAGATATCGACGGATGAAGACTGGATATCGACGGAGAAAGGTTGGAAAACTTTAACCTTCGATATCTCCTAAACGGTTAGAGATACAGGCTTCGGACAGGACCAAATTAAAGCCCTTTCAAAACCCTACATTTTGCACTACATGGACGACTCTCTACTCCCAGTAGAAGCGGAGATATCGACGGAGAAAGGTTGGAAAACTTTAACCTTCGATATCTCCTAAACGGTTAGAGATACAGGCTTCGGACAGGTACCAAATTAAAGCCCTTTCAAAACCCTACATTTTGGACTACATGGACGATCCTCTACTCCCAGTAGAAGCGGAGATATCGACGGATGAAGGATGGATATCAACGGAGAAAGGTTGGAAAACTTTAACCTTCGATATCTCCTAAACGGTTAGAGATACAGGCCTGGTTCTGGCACCAAATTAAAGTCCTTTCAAAACCCTACATTTTGCCGTAAGTGACGACTCTCTACTCCCAGTAGAAGCGTAGATATCAAAGGAGAAAGTTTGGAAAACTTTAACCTTCGATATCTCCTAAACGGTTAGAGATACAGGCCTGGTTCTGGCACCAAATTAAAGTCCTCTCAAAACCCTACATTTTGCCGTAAGTGACGACTCTCTACTCCCAGTAGAATCGGAGATATCAACGGAGAAAGCTTGGAAAACTTTAACTTTCGATATCTCCTAAACGGTTAGAGATACAGGCCTGGTTCTGGCACCAAATTAAAGTCCTTTCAAAACCCTACATTTTCGACTACATGGACGACTCTCTACTCCCAGTTGAAGCGGAGATATCGACGGAGGAAGACTGGATTTCAACGGAGAAAGGCTGGAAAAATTTAAACTTCGATATCTTCTAAACGGTTAGAGATACAGGCCTGGTTCTGGCACCAAATTAAAGTCCTCTCAAAACCCTACATTTTCGACTACATGGACGACTCTCTACTCCCAGTAGAAGCGGAGATATCAACGGAGGAAGGCTGGATATCGACGGAGAAATGTTCGAAATATTTAACCTTCGATATCTCCTAAACTGTTAGAGATACAGGTCTGGTTCTGGCACCAAATTAAAGTCCTCTCAAAACTCTACATTTTGCCGTAAATGGCGACTCTCTACTCCCAGTAGAAGCGGAGATATCAACGCAGAAAGGTTGGAAAACTTTAACCTTCGATATCTTCTAAACGGTAATAGATACAGGCCTGGTTCTGGCACCAAATTAAAGTCCTCTCAAAACCCTACATTTTCGACTACATGGACGACTCTCTACTCCCAGTAGAAGCGGAGATATCGACGGAGGAAGGGTGGATATCGACGATGAAAGGCTGGAAAACTTTAACCTTCGATATCTCCTAAACGGTTAGAGATACAGGCCCGGTTTTGGCACCAAATTAAAGTCCTCTCAAAACCCTATATTTTCGACTACATGGACGACTCTCTACTCCCATTAGTGGCGGAGATATCGACGGAGGAAGGCTGGATATCGACGGAGAAAGGCTGGAAAACTTTAACCTTCGATATCTCCTAAATGGTTAGAGGTACAGGCCTGGTTCTGGCACCAAATTAAAGTCCTCTCAGAACCCTACATTTTCGACTACATTGACGACTCTCTACTCCCAGTAGAAGCGGATTTATCAACGGAGAAAGGTTGGAAAACTTTAATCTTCGATATCTCCTAAACGGTTAGAGATACAGGCCAGTTTCTGGCACCAAAATAATGTCCTTTCAAAACCCTACATTTTCCCGTAAATGACGACTCTCTACTCCCAGTAGAAGCGGTGATATCAACGGAGAAAGGTGGGAAAACTTTAACCTTCGATATCTCCTCATTGGCTAGAGATGCAAGCCTGTTTCTGGCACCAAAATAAAGTCCTCTCAAAGCCCTACATTTTCCCGTAAATGACGACTCTCTACTCCCAGTTGAAGCGGAGATATCAACAGAGAAAGGTGGAAAAACTTTAACCTTCGATATCTCCTAAACGGCTAGAGATATAGGCCTGTTTCTGGCACCAAAATAAAGTCCAAAATAAAGAGTTTAGTCGAAATTGATTGCTATTGATCATCTCGTTGGATTCACGCCGAGAGTGAAACGTCAGTTTCGGCCGTGTGTCGGGAAGCACAATCTCGGCAACGTTGCGAATCAGAACGAGATGGAGCGAACACATTTCCTCTGTTTCTCTCTTTCGCTTGGCTCGTCAGAACAATTCGAGCGTCGTGAGGGACCTCAGACGGATAGACGGGAGCAGTTTCTCTGTGTGTGTGTGTGCCGACTACATTCTTACATAGAAACGTACGGCAATTGAAAATTTATTAAACATATACCCTGAGATTCTATCTGTTGCGTATGACACGTGTGTGTGTGTGTGTGTGTGTGTGTGTGTGAGTGCGTTTATGCACACGTACGTCACGCACACTTTCAATGCAACACATACACATGGATACAACTGCGCTAAAAAAACGCCTGCCGGAGTATAAATAAATACTAACGTAACGCTGAAATATTTTGGAAAAATAATTTTGGGTACACACAAAATATTATCTTATTATCATATATTTATATATCGATATAAATCGTTTATAATCTTCATGATATTAATCATATGCAATCTCAATTCTTATTTTTTTTGTGCATGTTAACATGTTAATTCATGTTACAAATGCATAACAATGCGCGAGACCATGCTTGTCAAGTACGCTATTATGGTTGTAGCACGGACATAAACCGCCTGAAAGTGGATGTAGCACGGACAGCCACCAGATGCAGGTTTTACCGTCGAGACCTAAAAGTGGATGTAGCATCGTAGTTCCGTTCTCAAAATGGATGCAGATAGCGCCCATTCCCAGTGCGAAAAATCGGTGTCGCCGAAAACGCCGTGTAAAACGCAGTATGTGAAAAATGAAAGATAAGATCGCCGCTACCTCGCCTCGTGTTTACTGCCGCTCGCCGCTCACTAGTGAGACAAAGACGGAACGATTATCTGTCGTCTGTCTTTTTCTAACCTACTATCATTGCATGGAAGTAGTACGGACACGAACCTAGGTGCATTTTACTTTTATCACCGCGAAAGTGCGCCTAGTGGACGTAGTTTAGGCGCATTTTGGTCAGATGGCGTATCTAAAATGCGCCTAGCCGTACCCCCGAAATACGGCCGGTGGCCGCTCTCATTCTTCTCTCTGATAACAGTGTCGACTATTTCCGCTACACCGACGATAACACGAACAATTTGTATCTCTGCCTTGTTTCTATGCTTTGTAGAATTTAGCTTTCAATTCTGAAGCAGTGAGAAAGGGGGAGAGGTCCCCTGAGGATTTATAATTAACATAAACTTCAGTTGCTTCAACTTGTTAACTCCGATTTTATTTTCCAATTGATAAAAATCTATGGGCTGCGGTTTTCCGATATTCATTGCCAGTACTGAAAATACACAGTTTATGTCACGTATATTATAGAGTTTTTGTGCTGGCGGTGAATAGTTGGGATGGAAATGTCGCTAGCGAAATAAATACCCCTAGGAGAGGAATTAAATTCTCCCGTTGGATATCAGCGGTTTCACGGAGGACACCGAATGCAGGAATTTTCGTTTTTCTACGCTTATGTCTGGAAGCATTCGCCCCTCCCGTGACAAGTGGTCTGTTCTTTGTAGCTGCACTGCTGAACTGGTGCAATAAGCTAGAGTGAGAAAACCTATATTTGTCTCACTTTAACTTATTGCACCAGTTCAACAGTGCAGCTACAAAGAACAGACCAAAGTTTAGACGCGCGGCAAGCTGTAATCTGTAATCAAGGGTGATCCAGCGCGACAGAACGTTGTGAAATATACCAGACACTCACCGCCGAGTGCGTATTTATCTCAGACGAAACGGTCGACATTTCAAACACGTACTGTACTGTAAGCCGAGTGATCACACGCGAGTAACAAGCGACACCGTCGAACTCCAAACGCGCATAATTCGGTTCTCGGTGGCTCACACGGAGCGTCGAAAGGTTATATACGTTGCACATCACGAAGGCGAGGGTGAATATTGCAGTCGATTTACGACGCGATCGAGAACAGAAGTCACGATGAGCTCGCAACAAAGCCCAGCTGCTCTGCAATCCACCGTCGATCGCGAGAAGGTTTACACGTGGATAATCGAGCTGTCGAATCCGGAAACGCGAGAGAATGCACTTCTGGAGTTGAGCAAGAAACGTGAAGTGGTGCCCGACCTGGCGCCGATGCTGTGGCACTCTTTCGGCACGACGGCTTCCTTGCTGCAAGAGATCATCAACATCTACCCGGCTATCAATCCTGCGACCCTCACCGCTTATCAGAGCAATCGCGTGTGCAACGCTTTGGCTCTGTTACAATGTGTAGCTAGTCATCCTGAGACAAGATCCGCGTTCCTACAGGTGAGATCGCGCAGCAATTGAAACAGCTTTATGTTACTTTATAACGTAAGCGAGCCGCAACATGCGGATAGAAGAGTTTCATGGCTGGGTGGGGTCATGTATTCTCCTTCGGATGTAAGTTTTTTTTATGATACCTGCTTGTACAAAGCGGCAATGTTTTGTGCAGACTGAATGGATTTGGATATATTTTTTATTGCACATATTGAATTTCTAGATTTAAACATGTTTTTACATGCCACATATTATTTAATTATAAACAATACAGCACATACATCAGTTAAATTTGGTTTATAATTTTTTTTTATATTTGTCTTACGCAAAAAAATAGAAACATTTTGGAGACCGCAAAAACAAATCTCAAACTCATTTGCAATTTTACGATATGTTTTATGATATACATCTTTTGGTATCTTAATGTAGTCTGTATTGTTTGTATCTGATTGATTGCAGGCTCATGTTCCATTGTTTTTGTATCCATTCCTGCATACCGTAAGCAAGACTAGGCCTTTTGAGTACCTTAGACTGACAAGTCTTGGAGTAATAGGAGCGTTAGTCAAGACAGATGAACAAGAAGTCATCACCTTCCTGCTCACTACAGAAATCATTCCTCTATGCCTGCGAATTATGGAGAGTGGCTCGGAATTAAGTAAAACCGTTGCGACGTTTATATTGCAGAAAATACTCTTGGATGACAGTGGCCTGTCATATATTTGTCAAACCTATGACAGATTCAGTCATGTTGCAATGATACTGGGAAAAATGGTTTTGTCCTTAGCCAAGGATCCATCAGCAAGATTGCTTAAACACGTTGTGAGATGTTACCTAAGACTGTCAGATAATCCTAGGTAAATACCGAAACAAAATGCATATTATTTCTGCTCACCATTTATTAAATTCAGTATTTTTATTTAATTCAATAAAAGAACCAATTTACTTTACTGCTAAATAAGCTGTACTAAATCTTTCACTTCTTACAATAAATATAACAAAGTATTAAGACATTCAATTAAAAATCCTGGTTTGCAGTGTCGAATATTTATATAATTCTAGCACATCAATATTAATCTCCGTTATATATAATACAATCTTGCAATAACTAAATTCAAATGTATAATTAACTTTGCAGGGCACTGCTGGCATTAAGACAATGCTTACCAGATCAACTAAGGGATAATACTTTTGCCAATTGCTTGCAAGAAGATGCTTCGACGAAGCACTGGCTGAACATGCTTCTGAAGAATTTAGAAACCGGCCCGCAGCCGGGCCCACCAACCCAGCCGGGTCAGCAAGATCCTCGAACGATCGGCATGTCGCCGCTTACGTCCTGAATTCGCCAAATTTAAGGAAAGGGAAGGAAGCAGTGCCAAATGTGCAAATGCGTCGTATGTTGTGGGGACAGATCTCGAGAGATGCTTCTTTCCGTGAGTTCTGAATTTTTACGAGACGGTTGCGTCACCGTTATTATTACACCGGTATGCACCGTTGTTATTACACATGATTAACAATTAATCGTGTATTATATATAGTTACGAATTGTGCTGTGAGGTCTAGTAATATAGAGGGATACTGCGTCGGATTGGCAATTCAAGTACATGATAGTCGTTGTACATATTGTATACACCTTGCGGCGAAATCGATCAGTTATATATCCGGTTCGATTTCCACGAACATTCAGTTCTCTTACTTCGGTTTCAGTGTTGTCGTTCACCGCTCGTTACTGATAACAGAACATTTAAACAAATTCGATACGAATGATAAAACGTTCACTACCAGTGGGAACTTGTTATGTGGGAATTTTAACGCAAGATTCAACGTACGCGCATATATGTATATATACATATATATATATATATATATATATATATATATATATACAGGGTGGGGGATTATAAGTTTACAACCCGAAGTATGAAGGTAGATTGGGTTAAGACAAACATAAAAGTCCCATGCCGTTTTGCGAGATTCTCAATAATTATCGAGTTATTAATGACAGAAATCTGAGGAGTGGGAGCGCGCTGGCATAGATAATTGGAGAAGCGTTGCAGCTGCTTAGGCCGCAGTTGATCCAGCAACTGTTGCCGGTGCGCGGCGAGGAAAAAGACTAGAGAGCTAGGTCGAGTGGGCCGAGCTTCTTTAGATTTCTGTCATTAATAACTCGATAATTATTGCGAATCTCGCAAAACGGTATGGGATTTTTATGTTTGTCTTAACCCAATCTACCTTCATACTTCGGGTTGTAAACTTATAACCCCCCACCCTGTGTATATATATACACATATATATGTGTGTGTGTGTGTGTGTGTGTGTGTGTGTGTGTGTGTGTGTGTGTGTGTGTGTGTGTGTGTGGGTGTGTGTGTGTGTGTGTGTGTGTGTGTGTGTGTGTGTGTGTGTGTGTGTGTGTGTGTGTGTGTGTGTGTGTGTTTGTGTGTGTGTATATAGGATTTGCAAGTATAATTGCTTCTCAATCCTTTAGTGGATTTTATGACGTTTATTATCCGCGAAGGTTGCGAAGCGCAGGCTACGGCAGAAATTATCCTCACGATAAACATTTGCACGAGTAGACATGCGGTTGATATCCCGAGTAACGTCTTTTAGTCATATTGTATATTATTTCCCGTCGGTCTAATTAAATTTAATCAACCGCGAGAGGTGCTCATCGTGCACGATGGAACATCTCGTTTGGTAACATTGCATCTCACTGCCTAGGTTTGTATATGATAGTTTATTTAACATTAATTAATTTGCGCGCGCGTGTAAGGGGAAATACTCGATGTCGTAGTTTTGTCCTGCATGCATTATGATTAATCGATGATTATGCACGAAGGACGATTAAATCAGAAAGAAACGAAGTAACGACGGCGCCACTTGCTCCGCAATATCAATAATTTTACGAAATATCGAAACTAGTCGAAAGCAAACTTGTGGACGAGTTTAGATTTAATAATCCCCGCGAATGTACGCGTAAATCTTGTGAGTCAGCGGTCGAGCCGAGTCGGTCGCTAGCATTTCGAAGAGATCTGCGTCGTCGTGTCGCTTGCGTCGTTCGCCGTTCTCGTAAGTTCAGCCTCATCCTGCGAAGAAACACGAGATAAACATGATGACGTCGTTGATTGGCGAGATTTATCAACTAGAACCGATTCGCGCAGGAGCGAACGCAGCGTACCGCTTTCGGAGAATTCTGCGAGCGTAAGAAGCCGTGTATAACGGGTGTAAATAGCCTCTTGTCCGTGCAATTGTACTTATACAGGCCCGTGAACCACGAGACCACCAGCCCCATCAGAATCGTAGTTAGGAAACCCACCCATGTGTACCAGAGATATGACATTCTGTACAGAAAGAAGGGCTGTTCCCTGGAAATAAAGATGTAGATTTGATCACGACGAATCTCGGAGAATTATTGGGCGTTTTTTACGCATCGTCGAGATACTAATTGCTTAATATGTACCTGACGGCGTTCTCGATGATCAGCGTGAGATTTCCAGCGGTGCTCCTCAGCGACTCGGAACAGCCTTCCACCGACACCGGTTTCACAGGGAAATAAATCGATCCGCTGGAGATCGCAGCTTGCGTGCCGAAAGAGATCCAAGCGACCAGGTTGAGACTGACTAACGCACCGACCAGTGCTCCCTGATACGGATAAGAGGAACATGAAGAAGTCAAAATCTCGTAGAGCCAGTTTAGTTGTAACGATTGATTCGACGAGGGTTGCTTGCACAGAATATCTCACGAGCGGCGGTACATACAACCAGGAAAGTAACAGCAACACAAAATACGAAGGAAACGAGCGGAAACGTAAAATAAATTTTTCTCATATATAAAGAAGGTGCTCATCACTCGCATCATAGATTCACATCTTTTGGGTGAGGCTTCACCTAATTTCGCTGTAGTGTCAACTCCGTACACGAATCTCTATAAGAATCTCTATAAGAAAAAAATATTTTCCACGTTTTCAATTTGTTTTCCCGAAACGTCACGTGAAATTATTATTCTAAGCAAGATTATAATCCTGAGTTGTATCACCTGTTCCGGGACACTTTGTGCGATCACTCGCTGAAATTAAAGTTGGCAATTTTAAGACATCTCGACTGATACTGTGTTAAGATTTAAGAATGTATACCCCATAGAGATCAATATATTGAAGTCCTCGACGAGGACATTAGAGATAATTCGGCTACTGTCTAAGTATTAGAGAAGACGTCTTTTGTAAAAACTTGAAAGATACTAGTGTCCCGATTATGAAATACAATTGGAAGAGTTTGCGACGGATTGGACTTTCGCTCAGTCGGCTTCTTACCGTGGAATTGGCCATCGGGAAGAACATGCCCAACGTGAACATTCCGAGTAGAGGCCCCGCGGTTATACCCGACAAGCTTCTGCCGGCCTGGAAAAAAGAAGAAATTGTAGATATTAATTGGGAGTTGAGTTAACGACCCGTAAGTCGAACGAAACGGATACTCGACGTAACGAGAACGTCATACCTGAATCAGACCGCTCAGTTTCTCCACCATAAAGACCAGGCCTACGCAAATGGCTCCTATTATCGCAACCGTGGCTTTCATTATGCGGCTCGCGCCGACGTTGGAGATCGGATTACGGAGACACGGCTTGATCATGTCTTCGTAGATCACGCCCGACATGGAATTCAATCCGGTCGACATTGTGCTATAGAGATCAACGAGCGAACGTACATGATCGCGTTATACAATCGCGATGAGGAGAAAATGATCGGGCGCATAAAATTTTTGTTTATTCGCCGTGGCCATTTTGATGTATAACCAAAATGCTTGCGAAATATATTGAAATAAAAGGATATGTCCACAGGACACATCAACTGCATATATGTGTGTGTGTCACGTTAATTTTTAATGGTAATTGATTGATTGTTAGGGCAAGAGGAAAATGTTAGGACTATTTTGCGAATCTGATCGATCGACTGTAAGAGTCGATTTTATCGATTATCTTTTCATTTCAACGTGCAGTGCAAGAATTTTCCTTTCGGCGAAGTTAGAAGTTAGTTAGAAGTCTTAAGAAAAGGCGGCGCGTTTGGTTTCAGAAGAGAAACACGTCGTTTCTTACTTTTTCCCAGCAGCACTCGACCCTGTCCCTCTCCCTGATCTCAAAAATATTGCAAATATCACACAGCTATGTAAAAACCTTACAGCTATGGAGATCACCATTTTTAATAATAATTTGCTCGACATGTGCGTTTCACGATACCTCAACGCTGCGCTGAACACGCCGGAGACGAACAGTCCTGGCAAGCCTGGTATCGCGTGCGATAATTCCATCACAAAGTACGGCAACAGCTGATCGGGTTTCCGTATTTGCTGAAAAGTAAATCATTTTTTTCCAGTTCCAATCGCCGAAATTGTGAGTAAAATATTCTTGAAAAAAAAAGAGATTCTTCTTTCGACTACATGATGATGATTTTTTTTTTTTCTTTTTCTAATTTTGGGTTGCGAGTACATTTTGATCTGGTAATCGAGAAAATATTCTTCGTCGCACATAACCATTACCTCAAAGAAGGAAAGTAAAGTGGATAGTCATTTTCTTAGCGTTAAAATATTCTTCTCTTCTGAAAAAGAAGAGGAACGACAACTCAAACGCAACTCCCCCAACTCCCTCTGGTTTTAAGGCGCTTCGTTCGCCGAAACTTTCACTTCGCTGCTCGTTTTACCTTCGTCGTGACCGGATCGCACTCGTAGAAGGCTGCGAAGATGACGATCCCCGTGTAGCAACACAACGAGACGATGCTGATTATACCTACGGCCATTATCATAATCGCCCTGGACACAAAGGGGGATTAAATAAGCGAGATCCGCACCGGGAAATGCACATCATGCTCGGCAATCTGTCTCTCAGACTCACACGTTGGACTTCTTCAGATTCGGCATCGCCAGGCATCTCTGCACCATCGCTTGATTTACCGAGCACGTGGCTAGCCAGTTTAAATAACTGCCAAGCACCACGGTCCAAAATGTATGCCTCACCGTAGGATCCGGATCCATGCTGTTCAACACACACGTGATATAAAATGTAGAAATTTACGTGTGTAAAGATTTTGTAAAGTTACGAGCGTTGCGAGCTGCTACATGACGTAAGCAAAAGATGCATCGGGTGCGAAGAACATTTACGCTCACTTGAAGAACTCAATTCTTCCAGTATCGTAATTCCTCTTCCACACCTCCGCCACGCTGCCGACCCTGTTGGTGCCGAGTACGACGACGACGATAATGGCACCGAACATCATCACCGTCTGAATGGTATCCGTCCACACGACCGCCTTCAAGCCACCCTGAAACAAAAAACCATCTATCCTGTCGTTCCTCCGAAACGCTTCGACATCTACAAGGACATCTGATTTCCCCCCCCCCTACTCATGATGCATCTTTGTATGCCAGCCTGGTAAAATTCATCACCAACCCCTTTAAAATTCCTGGTTATTCTCGACATGCAACTCCTGATCGATGAGGTCAGAAGTGAGAAAGTACACATTGAAAATTCTTATAAAGTATATTCAAAAGATGTATCTACAAATTGACACTTTTAATCGATCGAAGCGTGTTACGGAGTCCTCCGCTAGGCTAAACCTCGAAAAGGCATTTGACTTTTCTTATGTCTCGGAGCGGAGCCGATTCGAGGCAACCCTCCTGTATTGTACGAAGAAAAGCGGTATACACTGCCGTGTCGGCGGATCAAGGTATATCAAAACAAGCGGTGATCACGTTCTCACGAGGTGATCTCTAGTCCGGATACAGTGAAGCGCGAACACATGTGTTAAAACATAAACAATACTTTCAGCGAGCTATATATGGGCAATTATAAAGTTATTGGTTCTAACACCAATAACCGCATGTATCGGTGTGAGTAATCGAGGAAAGTCGAGTCGTCCGCGATATACGATATATATAGCGTAAAACCTTCGATGTAGAAGATTTTAGGATCGACACGCTCGCGATAGACGTAATCGGAACGCCGAAGTTGCTCCGAAGAAATCCCGCTGGCGCAGATTGAGCGTTTACATAGCCGTGTAACAACAAATAAAGCGTGCGACACCTTGAGAATACTTCGCGTTTCGCATTTGGTCCTTTCGACCGTCCGTGATCAATCCTTTCTCACTTCGAGTATTTCAGTTATCCCTTGAATCCTTAACAAAGCGGAACTGCAAGATCCGAAAGTCCTTTATTGATTGTTAGGACGAAAGGAAACTATTGTTGGAACTATTTTACAGAGATTGTTAGTGTCATTTTGTGAATATGTATTATCTATTTATTTTGCAACACATTTTGCGAGCATTTTTAGAGTGTATTTTCTCGCTTCTGGTGTCTTTTAGTTCAAGATGGTCGCGACAAAGAAAGCCTGAAATTTCACACGAGGCGACAGCGATCTTTCGACAGCGGGAACGAAATCTACAATGAAATCTACGTCCGACGTTCTCTTACCAGCGTCGTGTAGAAGATGCACACCGCGCAGACCAGCAGGGCGATCGTGTAGAGGTCGATCCCGGTAGCCTGATTGAAGGCTAGCGCCGGTACGTATATCACCAGCGGTATGTAAAGTAGCTGCAAATGCAAGCGCAAGATTGCTCGTCTCGCTGAATTGCTTTCGAGGTCGACACGTTCCAAGAGTCCGACGCTTCGGTAAATTTTTCGTACAAAGGGGAGAACGTTAATGTCGTACGGCAAGAATTCCGATGATTCTCACACATGGAAAAGTACATGCTGCATTCGAGTAAGTGTGTTAGAATAGGCGGAAGCAAATTCTGAAGAAGGATCCTCGAAACACTTTGCTTTTTCTATATAAAATATAAGTTTTATAACATTTTGAGAAAAAGAATGGACATATTTGTTTCGAGTACATGATGATGACGATGAGCTTTCCTAAAATTTATGACCAGTATATTTTAGGACTATTATCAAGACAATATTCCTTGTTGAGGATCACTCAAAAGAAAGAAAAAAACTGAGCAATTGCTTTTCTTAGCAGTAGAAGAGCATTTTCTCTATGCAGAAGCGAGCGTGATAAGAAGAAAGAAAGAAAAGGAGTCCGAAAAAACTTTAACGTAAATCGCGAGACTACGTTCTTCAAAGGTCTATCACTTTCTCTCTCGGATACTTCCAAGTTTTTATTCATTCAACGAGTATCATCAAGCTTACCATTTTGATGATGAAAATAACTGAGCCCAGGAGTCTAACCACTCGATTGAATCTTAACTCCAAGTACTGTAAGCAAAAAGAGGAAAAGGAAGAAATTGCTAACGAATGTGATCCATTGTTATATAAGATCCATAATAAGCTTCCGGTCTAAAGATATAAAGAAGATGGTGAAATGAAAAAACTACGTTTACTTTTAATATAATCACTCCTTATTTCCGTATATCTTTTTAAAACGATGAGTTAATTGTTCTATATCATTGCAAAAAATATTCTGAATTTTTATCCTTAACATTATTTAACTCTGCAAAAAAATCATTTCATCACTGGTAACCAATTTCTAAAGTTCTTCAATCTTGAAAATGAAAAACAATTGTTAGAAATTAAGTCAATATTGTAGGACGAATGACTTTTTTATTTTCAAGATTAAAGTCCTGTTTGCGTGAAAAAAAAGAGGAATTACCAATGATGAAGAAATAATATTTGCAGTATTAAACCGTTTTAAGGATAAAAGTGAGAAGAAAAAAGTATATGTAAAATTTGCATGGTTTTTATAGTTTTTTGGCCGTAGAATCACGTGGTGAATTCGTTGTTGCCAAGGCTTTCCTAAGACTGGAAACTTTTGGACCGTATCACGTAGCTTCGATCGTGATACCTCATAGGACGACGTAATTCGTAGCCCATAGAAGACCGGCAAGTAAACGACCACCATCGTCACGGAAACGAAGGTGTCCGCAATCACGACGGACCACAATTGCGTGCCGTACACGTACATTTCGGCCGGCAATCCCAGCATCGCTATGCCCGACACGTAGCTGTAATTTCAAGACGCCGTCGTTAAAGCGGCTCGTAATCGTGCAACATTTACACAACGCGAACTTAAGCGACGTCATTTCGGCATCCGGCAACTAGCGAATGAACGAGCTCTCTTATCAGAGCAGTGACTTGTTCCGATCGCGCATAAAAACGCGACTCTACGCGAACGATAAACGCTCGGAGACGAAAAAACTGTTTTGCCCGTCCAACTTGCTGCGTCCAATCGTACGGTTCTGCCGCTATTTATACGCAATGCTAATTGTACCACTAATTGCTAATCGCTAATTGCAGCCAATTGAGCTGGCTTTTAATTCTTAGCAAATAAATTAGGCATTACAGTTTTAAAATAAAACATTTTTTCCCATTTGTTGAAGATGCGAATTGAAATATTTTGCGTCTTCGTTATTGCATTTTTTATTTATTTTTTTTTTTTTTTCTTTAAGTTATATTTGAGGCTCGCATTTGAGTCGCCATCGTTAAAGTAGTATTTAAATAAAATAAAATATTTAAATGAGATAAAATAAGATAAAGCGTTCTTAAAACGAATTTTCTTATCCGGTTATCACGACGCGTGATCGCTTGATTATTAATAATTACAACTTTAACCAGGGAGCCTTGACGGCCAATTGAAACAAACGCCACCTAACACATCCTATATATTTCCGGCCAATAGAACAGTTTCTCTACCGACGTCCTGTACTTTCCTACCGCGCGCGAGTACCTTTCCAACGTGTCCGTCGGATCAAATAAACGTGCGACTTCTATCGTATTATTGAAACTGAGGAGATTCTAATCGTTCCTTGCCAACGTATAGTCAATATGACAAACCAGCGAACAATATTTTAAACCTCCGTACAGAGAGACTCGCGGGGTGGAAAGGTCAGTTTGAAATTTGCTCTTCTGTTTTTAAAAAATTAATCTGTTTCCTAAAATCAAACAAAACGTACGAAACATATTCAATAACCTATACACGGATTTTGAAGTGTAATAAAATCATTGGCATTTTGATAGAATTTTTATTCAATGATAAAATCATTACAAAATCCGCGTGTCCGCTCTTCTCTTAAAAATTCTATATTTTTTTATTTGATTGAATATATATATCTATTTGATTGAATATATAAGCAAAGCCTTCTCCAAGTAAATTATTTTCCGTTTAAAATCTCATTTGTTTCTAGCACATTTCTAGTTGTCGTTTAATCTTTCGCGACATCCTGTGTACTTTTTATTCTTTATTATATTCCGTTTCCCGTGGTGACAAATTGAATCATCTTCAATGGAATAACAGAGTGAGGTTTTTTCTTGTGAAAATTGGACCAAAACACTTATGAGATGAATTTTTACCTTGCTATTAGCGACATGCTGATCGGAAATATAGACATCCTTTGACCGCCCACGAGATATTCTCCCACCGCGTCCGCTTTCTTCCTGGACGCGTAACATTGATAGACGCCTACGAGCGCGGAGATGCCCAGCAATCCGACGAACACGATCCAGTCGATCAGATCGAATGTTCGCCGATTTTCCGTATCCATCGCGTACCTCAACAGTCTTATCCTTTATAATCTATGCAAAACAAGAATGTCAACGCCAGAAATTTACGACTAATTCTACCGATGAGACAAAAACCTAAATATTTTGCTGTGTATCGTCATTTTTCACTTTATATTATAAGTTACAAAAACATTGCATCTCGCGGATCATTCATGATGACATCTTGATTATATATCTTTATATAATTTTATTTATTATGCAATCTTTTTTTCATCGCATATCTTGATTATACAGTGCCTACCAAAAGTTCCGGGCCACCTAAATAATTTTTGAATGGTTTGAAATGTGGGATTGAAATTTATAGGGATACAATGGGATCGCAAAGTCTATTATTTAACCACAGAAACACCCGCCTCCACACCCCCGGGGATCCCGGGGGACGGGGGGAGGGGGGAGCCAAAAAATCTTATATGGCATGTGGATTGAGTGAGGGACTCGTTCGAAAGAGCTTTCCGAGACGAAAACAACGCGAAGTCTCTACGATCTTTGTTCGCGGAGTTATGATCATTTGAACATTTCTATTAAGATTTTGCGATGGCGAGGGCCCACGGCGACAACAGAAGAAAGATAAGGCTTCACGTGGGCACGCGCGTCCCTGAGTATGTGTGTGTGTATGTGTGGGGGGCCTTATCTTTGTTGACACACACACACACACACACACACACACACATAACAAAGAGAGTTTGGAGTCGTTAAATACTACGAGACTGATGAATCGTAGGACCCTTATCTTTGTGACACACACACACACACACACACACACACTCAGAGACGCGTGTACCCGCGTGAAGCCTTATTTTTCTTCTGTTGTCGCCGTGGGCCCTCGCTATCGCAAAATCTTAATAGAAATGTTCAAATGATCATAACTCTGCGAAAAAAAAACGTAGAAACTTCGACGACCTCACGTTGTTTTCGTCTCGGAAAGCCCTTTCGAACTAGCCCTCACTCAACTCCATATGCCATTTAAGATTTTTTGTCTCCCCCCTCCCCCCGTCCCCCGGGGTCCCCGGGGGTGTGGAGGTGGGTGTTTTTGTGGTTAAATAATAGACTTTGTGATCCCATTGTATCCCTATAAATTTCAAACCATTCAAAAATTATTTAGGTGGCTCGGAACTTTTGGCAGGCACTGTATATTAAACATATACTGTCAGCGCGACTTGTCAAATTCCGCGAACCGACACGGAAGATTAATAAATGTAACAAACGTCGTAAACGCGACTTGGCGGATTCGCCATTTGAAGAATTTCAAATTCACCGAGATCTCGCGTAGAATCGGTCAAGTCGGAAACGAATGCGGTATTCAATTTTGAAGACGCACCCCAGAGAAAGTGGCGGTCTCCAAACTTATGCGTACCTCTTGTATATTATTTAACAATATTGAAATACGATCTAGTTGCAAACATAACGACGATCATGCGTTGCATACAAACAAAATCCGCACTAATGCGGACAACTGTCACGCTTTAACGGGTCATTATCGGGAGAATACTTGTTGAATCTTATCGGAGGAATATTTCCTGATCCTGTCATATTCGCTTCGTTACAATGTTATACATCAGTGCCCGGAATTACTTGCACGATCGGGCCGATTTCTGAGAGCTACGCCTCCTTACTTCCCCTTACCGCTCCAGCCCGCACGGCGGACCTAGAAACTGACAGTCGCGAGGCGTCTCAGGCACGTCACATGAGACAGTCACATGAGACGCTTCACAGTTTAACATAGCTGAAATTAATTTATTTATTAAAACAACTCCATAGGCATTTTTTATAGTTTACTAATATAATATAGTCTTAATATTAATATAAATATATATTAATAGAAATATTAATATAAGTAATATTCTTAATATAACTATAATATACACTGTATACACTGTAATATTCTTAATATAACTATAATGTATATTATACATACACGAGGACTCGAGCACTATTCGAACACAAACGCGAACATGGTCGCACTTTTAGAAAGATTCATTCGTGCTCGGCGAAATCGAAGAAGAGCCGCGCGTCACCAACACAATCGCGCCAAATCTCCTCCTCCGTTTCCGAAATTACGTCGACGGAAAGTTCCCGGTGGGGAGACACGATCGGCCGATTATCAAGCTCGTTTCTGTGAAGTCGAGGCGCGATCGCGCGAAGATTCGTTCGATCTCGCGCGAAACGCGAGATTTCGAAATTGCGCGACGACGTTAGCGACGAGATTACAGATGTGTCGCTCCTTCTACACGCTCGAAACGTCTATGACGGTGAAAGAGCGACGGCTTTAAACACGGCTGGAGGGCACGATTGAATAATTGCGGATTCTCCGCCGCCGTTGCTCCACATCGCCCTCGACCACCGCCTTCCGTGATGGACTCGCTTTATGCGAGTATCTGAAACGGCCGATGGACTTTAGGCGGATCGCTTTCGTCTCGACTTGATCTATCTTTGCACCGAGTGTCGCTGATTGAATCTAGGTAATTATGCAAAAATATTTACTCTCATCGCGGGTTTCTTTGATTTTTAAGAGTAGAGTCTCGGATAATCTTTGCTTTATAATTATGTGGAGGTCGCGTGTCGTTGTCCTGAGGTATATGTATTGCTTCAAAATTTTGCAACTTTACACAAATTATGCAAGATGCTGGAGAAAGGATTCGAGACTCGCAGGGTAGATAATACTTATTGCATTGAGTAAAAAATACTTAATAAATATAGCTCGCAAAATCAATCTTTTCACAGTTACAAGCACAGTTTTGGTAATATAAAAGTTTAATAGATATATTAATCTATTGTCAATTTATTATTGTTTTGATGTTTACAAACTTTGATATTTACAAATGTGTTCTACATGTCCTTTCCTCTATTTCCACGATACAAAATAAAATACAAAAGTTAATTCAGAGGATCCAAGACGCGGCTGGACTGATTCGAAGAAGGACCATGAATGTTTTAATCTGGTCGCAATTTTGCAACACGAAAATATCAAATTCGATCGATAGTTATTATGAGTTTCCAGCCAATCCCACATCTCACTCTACACACACAAAACACGTTTCTCATAACTGCCAATCAATACAGAAAACAGGGAACGTGTTCGAGGCAAAAGTGACATTTTGGTAAATAGACTAAATTATCTGCGAATGTTATCTTTGTAAAGATAACATTTTTTCTCAATTTAAGATGCTAATGAAAGCGATACATATATTGCCGGTAATTAAGACCGGCGGTAATTGGAGAAGGACCACAATATAGATATGAATCTGTGTTTGAATAATATAAAGATATTTATTATAGATATAGTTACATATAATAAATGATAATGGTATTGACGATTGGTGAACGCTCATGGTAACATGGAAGCGTTACGAAATAAACGATTAAAAACGGGGTCTATACTTCCTGCGTTCTTAGAGCAACACGGTAACAATAGTAAAATGTCGAACATTTGTTCGGAATATAAATACATAATTCTCGATAACTATATATATCTTGCAAAAATGTACAATGGAATGTATATCGCGCCTATCTTTCTTAACGATCGATGCTTATGTAATGACGAGTCAAATATTTTGCACACAAATACTTCTCTCTCATAATATCTACAAACTTCACAAAATCGTCCTTCTGACGAATCTTATTGATCTAAACCGTTTGTTTAGTTACCTCCGCTAGGTAGATCGTGTTTTATCAATATATCGTGATGCAACGTAGTGGAGCTGTATCTATGAGTTATTATTTAAACGAATATATCTGAACTGTCCGTTGCTTATAAAAGTTACTTTCACGCAGAGCGACGTCTCAAATATGCACATGTAAACAATGTAAGACCGGCGTGTTACTTAAAACATAGGACGAGTAAAGATTTTGGATTGAATTTTTTTTAATTTCACACTGGGCAATTATTGCTTTAATGAAACGAACAAGATATTAATCGATCTTCAATTTAGCGATAATTCTCGAAATGTGACGAAAGAGAATACTCGACGTCCAATCGTGGAGTTGGCGAGTAAAACAGTTTGGCACTGTTAACTTTGCTCGTTAACTTAATTTCACAGTTTTAAATCAATCAATGTCATGATCACTCGCGCCAAGTAATAATTTGCGTATGCATATATGAAGTGTCTCTGTGTGTTGTGTGTCATATTTATTTACAAATACATCTCAACGTTTGCAAAATCCGTTAAAAAGGCACACAATATCAACATCTTTCATTTTCACCTACTTTTATTCTTACGTGAGACATTTAAATCGCATCGAAGAAGGCATTCTTCAAGAGCCACATGGATGTTTGTATAATAATATAACAACAAGTACGGTAATATATAATTAACGTGAAACACACACAAAGGATTCTGCTCAGAGCGTAATTCACGATACATCGAAGCGTGTTCCGCTAAGCATAACACATTTTCGTCGTTACACTCTCACGAAATTACGACAATAACGAACTTACAAATTTAATATTGTAAGTTTAATATTACAATATTTAATATATGTAACATTTCATTTTCTTTTTACGAAGCATTAACTATATTTCGTGAAAATTGAACGGCGAAAATCAAAAGGGATATATCGTGCGCAATTATAAAATCGTGTCTTCTTAATTAAAACTATACTATACTGATATACTTCTCGCGTAATACTGAACCCTTCGATTATCAAAATACTTCAAACACTCTAAAATTATTAAGTACTTAAAATTAAATGCAATTTACATTTAAATACAAGGGAGAAAAGAAAATAAAGAAAAACACGTTTACACAAGATAACTCGAGTCATCTCGAGTCGAAGTGGAAGAGTTAAAAATGTCTTTTTTCCAATAGAAAAGAATAATTTTATCGTAATAAAATGTATTAAAATGTTCGTTTTCAATAAAAGATTCTTTTCGAAGCAATTACATTAGCCTGATCCTTCAAGTTCGACGGAAATCTGCAAGTTTAACGTAAAAGCAAGATTTCGACTTTCTGAATAACCTAACGTCTTCGAACTTCGTACTGGATTACGCTGGCGAGTGGCCGCAAGAAAAGAGGTTCCTTTTTATCTTACATCTACAAAGGTAGTGAACGAAGAAAACGCAGACTTAAGAATAAATCATCCGCTATATTTATAGCTGGACTTGAGAACTTAAGGCTAAGAGCTGCTCGGGGCAAAATTAATATCTTCGTTTCTGGAAGACGCTGATCCGCCCTCGAAGGGGATCAAATAGAGAAATGAGAAGTGCGTCGTAGTGTGCGAAGTTATTGCTAATTCGATAATCTCTAAGTATTAAATAATGGTGTGGTTGCGTGTAAATGATTAAGTCTAAGGACAGCGATCGCTGTGCGGGGACGAAGGCGAAGCACTTCGGTGTGCGAGCCGCACGATTATAAAGTCAAAATTCGATCGGCTCATTGCAGTCTGATTATCGAAATGGTTAGCTTCTTCTTTAAAGCTTACAGCTGAATTTCAGATAGAAGTCAAGAAAAATTAAAAACTCTGTGAACTCTGGTAAACGAAAATTTACAAACTTTGAGCAACTTTTCGACATGTGTACTCATTTAAATTGAGCATTAATCGAGAGAGCTTCCTCCCAGCCGATAAAAAATAGATCGCTTTTCGAAGAGCAAGCGATATTTGAGCGCGCTTAGTTCTTCCTTTTCTTTTTTTTTTTTGAGCAAATGGTATTTTACGCGAAACTATTGTCCAAGTGACGATATCTCTCGACATACGTCTTGACGTAAAACAACCGATTAAGCGTCCTCGTCGTGCGAAATGAAGCACACCGGTCAGAGAAAGAATAAATGTTCGCACATTTGTGTAAATTATAACACACTGAAATGTAATACGTTGAGAAAGGTCCGCCGCGGAGTTGGACGTCGGAATACGTCGTGGCTTGAGCGTTGGCTCGTCGGCTCGCGATAAAATGATTATCGATCTTCCTTCGTCCTCGCGTGCAACGTCACTGACCTATGCAAAGTGCGCTCTCTTGCACGCGCACATTCGCTCGAAAGGCCTTTCATGGACGGAATGGCTGATAAGGATGCGATTCTTAAGTTAACTTATTAAGTACATATTACTATGAGCGTATACGGACGCGCGCTACGCACGATCTGCCTCGGGAACTCGCACCTCCCGACAGTCGCCGACTTTTACACACCGCGATCGCAACGACGAGTCCTCACCGACGTGAAAAATTGCTTAAGAAAAATCCGGCACTTGCGGCACTACCTGCGCTATATCGGCGATTCCTTTGGAGATTTTTCGCTGAGCGCGCCTCTCTCCTTCTCTCTGCACAATCACGTCGCTGATGCGCTGAGGCGCAAGACGCGTCGTTTCGCAAAATTCCAAGAGGAGACCGAGAGAGAGAGAGAGAGAGAGAGAGAGAGAGAGAGAGAGAGAGAGAGAGAGAGAGAGAGAGAGAGTGAGAGAGAGAGAGAGAACCGAGTCGACGGGACTGAATCGCGCGCGAGCGTGTCGCGTTAATTATTATTTAATTAAGTCACACAGCCGCACGGCACGCGGGCGCGCGATACGCGCTCACGAGTCACTCCGAACTTACGACGCTACGTTATCACTGTACAAGTTAGTTGTTTAAGTAATCTTACATTATCGAGCCGGTGTTCACAGTCCCATCGTGAGCATAATCTATTCACGTGCGGAATTGTTTACGAGCCACCCTTACATACACACACACACACACACACACACTAGGAAAAATGTATTGGTGCGTGAACCAAAATTTTGTTGCAACAACAAAATAATTTGGTTAAAATATGCCCGACAAAACTGTTTAGTTCCTGTCGAACATATATCTTGTTCGATTACGGTTTATTCGGGATTTATATTAAACTCTACGGCCGATCTTCCCGAGATCGAAGTTTGATGTTTCAAATACGCAATTCTCTAAGCGGAAAACTCGAAACTTCCCGATTTTCATTCTCCGTTCTGCATTCGATTTTTTTTTCTACTTTTTTCTATTGAATACAATTGGTGTAAAAATGGAATGCAATCGGATAACCCCTTCTAGCTCCGCATAGAAGGAAGCTTAGAGCGTTCCAGATATTTCGTTCAACATAAATATAAATATAAAGTAGAAAAGGGAAAAGAGAAACGTTTTTGTTTTCGACAAAGAAACGTTCGACAAAGAAAATAGGATCGGTTTCCCACTTAGAATCGCAATTTATTTATTTGGGCAAATTAAAATGAATGCCAAACAGGTTCCTGAAAATTTTCTATGCGAATTATCATCCGCATTTGCATCTGGAAAAATCCTAGGAATTCTCTGCGCGGGTTATCGAGTTTCCATTGAGATGTAGTCGTTAATGAAATATTAGTTGATTCATAGCTTGAGACTTAATGATTCAAGTATTATCGAGAAATAAAAATTATTACGCACGTCAATAATCATAATTATCCTGCGACTGTGGTTATTCAACGAACAACAGCAGACTGTGAACACCGCCTTCGGAAAAACTCGCTTTAACACGCGAGTTGCATTTACGAGAGACAAAAAACGGCGATCTCGACTCTCGACCGCGCGTTACGTCAGCCCGCCAGTTAACAAGGTACTTCGTGAAAAATCGCTCGTAAAAACGTGAAAAATCGTACGAAACACCTCAGCGCGCATTCATAGAAATAGAGGAGAAGGTAGCCACGTCACGTTTCATACGTACAGGCCTCGGCCACATCCTTCTCGCATTTTCCTGCCAAGAATCACATTCGAGAAGCGCAGATTCGTCCGAGGCTCCGGCGAATGATCTTTTCCTCAACGTTCCTCGCGCTCCTCCGACAACTGTTTTCCTTCATCATTGTACAAAAAGTCGATCCATGTACTACAGAGAAAAAACTGTCGCAACGCACTCTACAAAGTTAACGAGTGAAACCTCAGGTCGCCCGTTCTCCGTTTTTGCAAAAAAAAAAAAAAAAAAAAGAAATACAAATACACGTCGCTTAACAATCATTATGATATATTGTGATATAAATATCTTCAAATTTTTATCGAACTCGGCTTCCGAAATCGGAAGTTTGGTCGCAAGTCGACGATGATGTAACTCTACGTGCATTCTTACCGCAATTGAATGCCTATCGGAATCGCAATCACGCCTCAAAATGAGCTCTCGCGTTTGGTTCTGAGCTGAGCAGCCTCCGGGCTCGGCGTCATTGCCGGATTATCGTAGGCGTAGTCGAGAGTGGTGTCCTCACTGGGATGCCTCCGCGAGAGAGAGGTGCTCGTGGTCTCCGGTGTATCGTTATTATTCCCGGTGCTCCTATTTATGTCCACCGTGGCGCTTATAGTCGGCATGCTTAGCTTCAGGCCATTCTGTTTAGTCGCGTTAGCCTCGACGTCGTCTTGCACTTTATTTTTATTTGCTGCCTTCTGAAACGATGACGGAATTGTGACAAAGTGCTGATGCGCGAGAAAACTCCCGTGAATTTATTGGCACGTGGTTTATTTATTCGTATCCTTGTGGGATTAGAAACACCGAGAAACACGGAGAAACTACTCTCCTTTTGATTTCTTAAATTACTTACCGATTCAGAGAATGTTGCGCGTTTACTAACGAGCAAATTTCGTTGGATTTATTCAATCTGGACTATTCGATAACCGATTGTAATTTATCGCGAATGTAACTCGAACGCGCAATCTGGAGTTTCTTTTTAATTGAACCGACGTGTTCTTAATGCTATTATTTAACGTTAAACTCGGCTTATTCTCGCGTACTGATCCGGGCCGAAGCAAATCCGAGATCAAAGAGCGCGATAGGGGAACTTGTCAACGGGAATGATGGGTGTTTTTCGAAGGGTACCGCCCTCGCAGGTCGACTCACCTTCGCCCAATTCTTCCTGAATAGCGCTCGCAAGGTGTTTTGAATCTTTTCCCACCGTATTAGAGTCCTTCCCAACAGGTACAGTACCCCGCATAACGACAGACAGGTCAACGTCGTTGCGACCGTGAACATAATCCGTAGCCTTTCCACTTCGTCTGCAACAGAATAGATCGGAGGGGTAAATAGAGGAGGGATAAATAGAGGAGAAATGGTCGGCTGGCCGGCCGACGATAGATCCGATTGATGTGTAAAAATTCCGACGGTCAAAATTATTGTAAGCTGCACGAAGGAAGAAGAGCGGTGGATAATGGAAACGAGACGTTTTACTTGTGTGGCAAATGGAATCTCTGGCTCTCACAACTGTACTCGGGTCATACGCGAAGAAAACAATCCCGTTACTGCGACCGAATTTTCCTTCGCATGGCAAGAGTGGGGAGAGCTCACTTTAGAAACAAAAAGATTACCGCGGGCGGTTCAAGTCAGCTGTCTCCTTCCTTATCTGAATCGAGTTTTCCGATTCCGTCATCGATTGAGACATTCACCCTTCGCCGAATCTTTTCGATCGCGCTGACAGAAATATCTCTCGTCACCGGATTTTCATGCAGTCTCCGTTTAGTCAGGCGAACGGAGATTTTCCTTCCTAAGAGTAAGAAGCAGAAACTCTGTGTTTGCAACTCAAGCATTTCGTTCGTTCATTATGTCAATTCAAGCGATCTTTTCTCTCCGTGTGCGTAATATCGAAACTATCGTTACATTTACAGATCGAGAACAGACGAATGCAGGGCGTTTGAAAGTGCGTTTTAATTAACAAGGTATCCGAGATATCGATCGTCTTTGCGATAATGCTTCGTAACTTTCGTTTCGCTGCGCCTTCGAACGTGCGCGGGCATCTCTGAAGATCATTCCCGTTCAAGAGGAGAAAGTTGTTGCTTCAGTCGCTTGTTACATTCCGCGGCGATATCGCGGCGCATCAGGCGAAAGAAGTCACTCCGTATATCGAAATGAACAAAAAAACGCCGACGCTCTCTCGGCCGACTCTCTAATTACAGATTGCGTAAATTAACGGATACGCGAGACGGCGTTAAAGTATCGAGGTCTGGGAATTTCATCGGGTTACCCGGAGAACATTATTCGCACAACCAGCTCCCGTAACACGCAGTCATTACTTACGCAGCGCGATTTTCCTTATGAAAATGTTTAACAACTTTTCCCCAGTGAAAACGTGCCGAGAGGAAAGTTTCTTATTTCCGCAGTGATTTTCGGTTTCCAACAAAACACGTCTTTGAGAATCTGAGTAATCCGATTAATATTCTCCTGAAGCAGAACTCACTTGAAACTGACCGAGGAAAATAATTTGTTTCTTCCTTTTTTTTTTTGCAAAAGATAGATAGCGCTTTGTGAACAATGGACGTGAATTATGGGACACCCTGCCTTGCCTCCAGCATGAAACTTGACACTTTTACATATGCATGTACATTGATATGTTTGGTATGTTAAATATGTTAAATATTAAGTGTAAATCTACGCTGCTATATCACGATACCGTCGCAGTCTCGGCGACGATGAAAAAGCGAAGGTGTCGCAGCAACGGCCGTGCGAGAAAATCGCGAATGCGAGCGACGCCTGTCTGTGTGTGAGATCTGCGTCGTTGAAATCTCCAGCTCGCGCGAGAGAAGTCGTCGCTCGCGCTCAAATTATGCGCATCTTCTGCTCACACCTGAACCCACTCACCTCTGAGATCATCGTACTGTTTCGCATCCGTGCGTAGGACGTAGCGTCGATCGTGCAGGTAGACTGAAATCAGAAAGAAAACGTTCACTCACACACACACACACACACATCGATCGGTCGCGAAAACTTGGCCGTTTTCCGAGAGGATTCGCTCCGTCTCCTCCTCTCGGCGGGCAACACCTGCCTGAAACGCATTCACGCCGACGTCACGCACGTTTCATTAATGCTCGAAGCTTGTCAGAGACGTTGACGTAGAAAGCGTTACGCGAAATAGGCATATGGGTTTGGCGACGCCGCAAAGCTCGGCGAGAGATCTCCCCAAGCGTGACTATTACGCTATCGTGCACCGGCTGCATTAAAGGGAAACTCCAGGCCATTGTTCGCGCAACGGAAGGATCCGGGAAGCCGAAACAATTACGCCTGTAAACCAGAGCAATTTTCTCCGCTCGACAATATGCAACTGATAACGCGTGCAGAGAGACAGAGAGAGAGAGAGAGAGAGAGAGAGAGAGAGAGAGAGTGTTAGGCTGAGTGAAGGAATTTTCTGGCAAAATATGGACGATTCAGAAATTCCGGCTTAACCTGTCAAAATTCCGTCAAAATTGTCAAGATTTGACATTCTGCTTCAGACATTCGCAGTAGGATCAGTTGATATTTTTAAATGCTTGGTGTAATATTATTTTTCTTTGTCGTGATATGTTTATCCTTTGATTATCATGAAGCAAAGGGGACTCGCGAGATTCAACTGTTCTTAGATAGACACAAGTGAACACACGCATACGCACTGCTCATGATCTAATCGCTGACGTCTCTCTCGCGCGCGATATAGAAACATTTCGTTCGATCGTTGGGCGTCGCGAAGAAACACAAATCGTCAGAACACCGACGAGTGAATGATACAAGTCCTCACATATTTCTGACTGATCAATCACAAAATTAAAAAATCTCTGCGCGCGCGATTGGTTATACTGGCAAAGGATGAAGAACGAATAATGTGTGCTGGATATTTTTTTTTATACCGCTAACATTGCTGACGACAGGACGGAAGGAAGGAAGGACGGACAAAAATCGAGATATTCATTCCTAATGGCCATTATCTCCAAAGTTTGAATGATCCCAATCGCCGATTAACTGGCGAAATTAGCAACCGAAATTTCGCACTTCTTATTCTTCTCGCTTTCTTCTCCAACAGCAGTTTCAGTTGGAATCCTGCTTACTCGTCCGATTGATCGGACTAATCGGAGTTTGGAGAAAATGGCCGCAAGTGGCCGCACTTTTTCCTCTCGAGTCTGACTCTTGAGGGAAATTGTACCACGAATCGTATCATAAATCAATTCGTCATATATGCAACACATCTCAATACGGCTTACGCGCAGTCGATTCGCCCATGACACCGGTGCACCTCCTCTCATCGTCCTCTTCGGCGCGCTCCGTTTCTTCTTATTCGAGTCATAACGATCTACCTGTCAGAAGGCGCAGGTAGATCGCCTAGCGCGCGCCTGCGTAACAACGGAGAACTTGGTCGCGATAGCAACCTGCGGTGCAAACAATTCCGACCTACGACGGCTGCCTACCTGTAAAAGCGGTCGGCACGTGAGCGCGTGTAATCGCGTGCCCTGGCATGACGGTAAACTCGAGATGACCCCGTTCGGGGCGACGCGGGGGGCAAAATGTTAAATCCAGACCTGGAGGACGACGAGGTCGCGCGTATCGATTCGCGAGCGCCTGGCCGCGAGAACGTTTGATGACGAATTAGACTCGCGAGTAGCGAGGATTTTCGACAACATTTGCTGAATTGAAAGACACGGCGTTGGAACGCCACTTCGCCGTTCACGGCAGCGGCGGAATATTTGTTTTCCTTCTGTTTGCTCTGCGATCTCTGTTTGTCGGGCCATTCGACACACAACTGAGAAAATACGCTGACATGCAGGGAGAAAGAGAGAGGGCGATAACTATTAGCACCTTAAGTATCTTTCAAATATGAAGCATTTGGCTGACACTCGAACTGCCAAGCGGCCAAACGCGAGACCGGTCTGCGATTTCTTCTAAAAGTTGCTCAAATTCATCTTACATTTTTTTACGAATGTCGAGTAAAACGGAAAAAGATAAACGGACATTTTTGCCCTTGCGTAAAACGCATGTTTCTCGAAACGACGTTTCTTCCAACAGCTTTTCGGGAATTTTTCGAAAATCTTCCTGGCGTTTCGACTGCTCCGGCAGAAACGGATTAATCGTCGTTCTGCAATTCTAGTGATAACAGAAGTGATCATCACTAAGTTTAGCGATAACGAAAACAATAATTTCCGTTATCACTAATTCTAGCGACAACAGAAATTAAATTCTAGCGCGGTCGTCCTGTGGCGGTGACATTCTCTCTCTACACTCTGGGCTTTTCTGTATTAATAATTAATGTGTGTATTAATAACAAGGTGATAATAATTATTGCTTCACCCCAATGAGGGGTGAAGCGATAACTCACACAACAATGAGGCAATAAGTTTCCGCGTGCTAAAGATTATTCAAATGTCCCTAAATGTCCTCCTCCGATATTCCTGGCGCTCGTTTCAGGTGGCGCGAATTTTTACGTCATATATTGCAACATGTCGACATAAAATAGACATAATTTAATGTCCGCCTACAGGCCTTCATTTTGAGGATTGCTTAATCGAAGCGACGTGTCCCTCGGTCGCTTTGCATACACGAAGAGAACCGCTCGGCCCAGATTCTGCTCTTCCCACACTTTGTCGGGCCGTCAGAATAGTTCTCTATGTTCCTCTCTTTTATTAAAACATCCGCGAGCGCACAGAGTCAACAAGTTCCCCGGCCTGGAATTTGTACATAGGCCCGATCGGAGTTTACCGACAAAACGTAACCGGACACCGTGACGAGAAGTCTCAATGGGGGAACCCGGCGTCCACGGAACTCCATACGGACAATTTCGTAGCGGCTACATAGCGGGAACCCCGGGACCTGTTTCGATGGGGGGGAAAGGACGAGGTAGGGAAGGGATTTTCATTCTTCGCGCGTCTCGAAGCAAAGAGGAGCGGCTTCTCCTACCTGTCGGAGCACAAAATATTCTCTCCTCCCTCCCGTCTTGCCCGCTTCTCGCGGCGCCGGGTACCGATGTTGAGGTCTCAAGCGGCAACGGGGAGAGAGAGAGAGAGAGAGAGAAGAGAAAAAGAACATCGAAGAAGCGGAAAAGGGAGAGGCCGAAGAAGCTGAGGAGAGGAAAAGGGCGAACAGCGGCTCGAAGGAGGAAGAAAAGAAGCTAGGTGACTCATCGACCATGTTTGCGTGTGGGAAGTCGGTAGGGACAGTCAGGTGTAAAGTCAACGGACTTGAGAGAAGAGAGACCGGGTTGGTTCGCTCGCTCGCCACGCTCGATGGAGGTGGACGATGGCATCGCACTGTGTGTCCGGTTTCCCGTACGACTTGCGTGAAAACGAGGAACCGGAACGGCAGGATGGTTGCACCGCGACATGTGATCGGTCCCGCGTCCGGATAATGGATAGAAACGATTCACGAGATGTAAATCGAGAGAGAGAGAGAGAGAGAGAGAGAGAGGGAGATACGTGAAATTTAGCCATCTCCGTACCGAAAAGTGCGTACTGAGTTCGAGTAATAAATGTTGCTCGTTTCACAAGTTTATATAGAAATCTGCGACGAGTTCGTCAGATTTACTCCAAGTATATTTTAAATCCTCGTAAGCTTGACGCTTCAATTGAGAATATTAGATTCAAACAAGAACATTCAGTTGTGACAAAATTCGGTTTGCCTGTATATTATACAGGCAAACCGAATTTTCAAACGTAACAGGTAAAAAATCTCGAAAATTATGAAAGATATTAAAAAAAGCTAAAGCACGCGTTCCATGATTTCGAAGAGGAAAGAGAATAGCATTATCAGTTTTTTATTTGGAGGGCATTTTCAAGATCAGTTGAAGGTCAACTTCATTTTTTAAAATAGAAGGCCCAATTTTTATTATATCTTCTTTTTCTACCAATTAATTTTAACAACTTTTGTCTGAAACATTTTTTTATTTGCCTAATATTTTTTTGAAATATTTCAGGAAAACTTGGTAACATTTTCAACATTTAATATACGATATCTCGCTAACTATTCGTCGAAAGAAAAAATAGTATTAGACTTTATTTACTATCAAGAATATATTACTATAATAGTGCCCTAACTTTTTGTTAATATAATAATTTTGAAATTTCCAAAAGTCGATTAGCTAACAAAAG